CTTGATCTTCGATTGCTAAGATTAGAAGAAAGTATGGAGTTATTAGAGAAAAGGGTCTTTGGAAAAGAAAGTTTCCCTGATGAACTACTGGATGTTGGGAAAGAAATTGTCCAAATTTGTAAAGGGCTTCCTTTGGTGGTTGATCTGATCGCTGGAGTAATTGCGGGGAAGGAAAAGAAAAGGAGTGTGTGGCTTGAAGTTAGAAATAATTTGCATTCCTTCATTTTCCAAAATGAAGCATATGTGATGAAGGTTATAGCATTAAGTTATGACCATTTACCAGATCCCCTAAAGCCGTGCTTACTTTACATTGCAGGTTATGGGAAGGACAGAGCGATTGAAGTCGGAACTTTGAAAAGTCTTTGGTGTGGCGAAGGACTTGTGCAACAGACAGAGATGAAGAGTTTGGAAGAAGTGATGGAGGTTTATCTGGATAATTTAGTTTCCAGTAGCTTGGTAATTTCTTTCAATGAGATAGGTAGAGACCGGACTTACCAAATTCATGATCTTGTGCATTACTTTTGTTCGATAAAAGCAAGAGAGGAAAAGTTGTTTGGCTGGATACGTTCAAGTGCTCCATCATCATCTTCTTCTTCAGATCTGATGCCACGTCAAAGGGCCATTGCTTATGATAAGAAACACTTTGGGCACAACAATTTTGTCCTGTTCGATTCAAAAAAGAAAAGGCATTCTGGTAAACACCTCTATTCTTTGTTCATAACTGGACAAAAGCTGGACAACCATCTTTATGATATATGTCACCTAAGACACTTGAGGCTTCTTAGAGTGTTGCAACTGAGTAGATCTTTTATCAAGGTGAATGATTCTTTACTGAATGAAATAAGCACATTGGTCCATTTGAGGTTCTTAAACATTACGACAGAAGTTAAATCTCTGTCTTTGTGTTTTTCAAATCTCTGGAATCTAGAAACTCTGCAGGTAAGAAACGATGGACCAGCCTTGGTACTACTACCGACAATTTGGAATCTTGTAAAGTTGCGAGTGCTGGGCATACATAATTGTTCTTTCTTTGATTTGGATACAGATGAACCAGTATTGATAACAGAGGACTCAAAGCTAGAGAACCTGAGAATATTAGGGGGACTCAAACTTTCATATTTGAAAGACACGGAGGATCTTTTCAAAAGGTTTCCCAATCTTCAAGAGTTTAGTTTTAATCTCAAAGAATCATGGGATTGTTCAGTAGAGCCATATTGGTTCCCGAAATTGGATTTCCTAAATGAACTAGAAATCCTCAAAGTAACTTTTGAAAGTTCAAATACATATGAT